TGCTGATTGTACCAAATCACCTCTTCAGGATTTTTTGCTTCTCCCCCTGGGGTGGGTGCTGTTTCAGTGCCTGCCTCAGGTGTTTTTTGTTTGTTATTTTCATGTTATTAAAACCTTTTATTTTGGAAGAAAGTGATCATTGCCCATCCCTCCCTTAATCGCCACTGTCCTCCTCTTCACTGAAGACCACCCTGGAGGTACTACTGGGGTCCTGCTGGGGGTGTTTTCTTCCCGGGCAAAACCAGCGGGTATAAAACCGTCTTTTATTTTTAAAAAGTAATAAGTGGTTGTCTTGTTATGTAAATCTGTTTCTAAAACTAGACCTCCTGATGGTTATCATGGCCCTGGGGGGTGTGCCCTGAGGTCAGCTGTGTTATAGCACAACTTAATTGAGCACTGTACAATTGAACAGGAAATTTGTAGCAGAGAGTAGATTTCCTTGATGTTCATTCTGAACAGCTGTTGGAGCAATTTGTGAAAACATGGTTAAAAAGAAAGAAAAAATAATAAAGTGAAAAAATATGACTTTCAGAAAACAGAGGGTACCGATGATCTGAGTTTCTGTTTTCAAGCAAGCTTCTTGGAAGGCTCTGAAACCAAGTAGTCATAAAATATGTCTTATGGGTAAAAGCTATATAAGAAAAATGGAGAGTCTAGAATTATGAGGATGCACCTGTCACATCTTCATAATAAAGCTGAATAGTGCCACTTTGTTTTCTAAAAGAATAAGGAAATTTATGTAAAATAAGGTCATTGCCTTTAAAGTCTTTCAAGTGTTTGCTCCATCCTTCATTATGAGCCTCCTTTCCAGAATATCTAATAGACTGTGCTTTCAATGATTTCTCTTGGAAAGAGAAGGACTTGAGAGCGGACTGAAAATGACTTGAGATGGATGGAAGGACCATCAAGTAGAAGCTTAATGGTCCTTTGAGTGATAGCACCTCCATATGGTGAGGCATTACACCTGAGACACTAGTTAGGGCAAGCTAAATTGTTGTTTGGAACTATCTGCTACTCTATTGATTTTGAAGTGAACTTAGACGACTGCTATAGAGGTTTTTAGAAAGAAAGGACACTTACCTTTGAATAATTCATCCGCAGTTTCTAAGACTGTGTATGTTTCTGTGGTAGTTAATGTTTATGCACCCAACAGAAAGATGTTTTGATAAAAGAGACTGTACGTGCAGGATTGTAAATAAGCCTTCTCTCTCCAGACTCCAGTCTGGTGATGAACTGTGTGTTGGTTCAGATTCTATGCAACCCCACTAAAGTCAGTAGTATTCTATGGGGAAATAAGCCAGGGCAACACTTGAACTCTAGTCCTCCTCATTTTTTCTTAATTCTTCTATGAAAATGGCCAAGTCTTCTGTAGCTTTTGCAATAGTAACAGCAGCCACTGTTTTCCGCTGTTCTTTTAATTTTTTTTTTCCTCCTAATGTTTTCCTTCCCCCTTAATACTGGTTCATTACTCCCACACTGTCTAATACATTCATACAAATTAAAAGAGTCATTACCAGGGACTGGCTATCACCTCCATAGCAACAATAGCATCACAAAAAAAAATACAATACAATAACAACAAAAGGTCATTTTCCGTAGCCAGCATTTCCAAGAATGATCTCAATTTTCATAAAACAATGTTTATAAAATTGTTAACACCCTAGGGTCATGTCTGAACAAAAATAACCTTTTCTATAAGGTCCTTTGCCATTCTATTACTAGCTGTTTACTTTAAAACAGCTAAATATATTCCAAACCACAGCTCTAGATTCAAGCGCCATCAAGTTTGGGATAAAATTGAAACCTGTGCCCAAATCTGGTTATATATATTTTTCTTCAGCTAGTCTCTTTTTGTATAATGGGCTAAATGCTTCAGGAAGTTGGCATGTCTTTCAAATACATAGTCTGTGTAAGGCATTTTGAACTGCAAAAGCATGAACCTTTTTGCTTGTCCAGATGTTGCTCTTCACTATCAGAAAATACGCTTTTTTAGGAGGAGGTTTGTAAAAGTCAAATATAAGCTGTGCTTCAGCATGAAAGTGGAGTGATTGGCATTTCAAGTTGTACTCCAACATAGAGAGTGAGGGAATACCATACTCATTCCATCCCTAAACTCCATAACACAGAGAGGGTCATAGCCTCAGCTTTCTCACTGGGACTTCCCTGGTACCTCCAACACCATTATACCTAAGGAAGAAACACTTTTGAATCAAGATTAGAGACCTGTTATATTAAGGGAGGGTATAGGAAAGAATAAAACAGATTTGCTGAACCAAGTCTACCTTCTGAAGGAAAAGAGAAACAAAAAACCTTACGCTTTGTTACACCCATCCAGGCATCAGCTTCCAAGCACCAGGTGTTCTGACTTCAGATTTTCAGACTGTTGTCTATGCCAGGGGTTTATGCTTTTCTGTGGTTCTGTAGATAGGGCACATAAGTACTGCTTTAGTGAGGTGGGTCATGCTGTATGGCTTTTGCTTTTCAGGAGAGAAGTCTACAGGAAGCTGCGCAGCCTTTACCCTACTCATGCCTGTACACAGTACCTGGATGCTTTTCAGCAGCTGGAGAAATACTGTGGCTATCAAGAGGACAACATACCTCAACTTCAGGATGTCTCCAGATTTTTAAAAGGTCACTCTTTATGAACCATGGTTTATTATAGGGTTTCCTGGATACACTTGTACACCACATAAACACACAAACCATCTCATAGGACCCACACTAATGGGCAGACCTGATTAGCTGTAGAGTTCCCTCGTGCAAGATGAGCTGTAGCACAGGGCATTAATACCAGGCATATCTAGCGACCAAGCTGTAAGTTTGTGTTTACTCTGTGAGTGGCTGCAGTTGGCATAGCACTAAGCAGCTAATTCCAGTACTGGCAGCAGTACAATCACAGCAGCACACTGCTCAGCATGACTTCCACACACAGGTTTTCTACGGGTTTGGTTGCATTTTATGTTTCTATAACTATGTTGCTAGTAAGACCCAAGACCCAAACAGAAGTACAGGTATATACCTCTGAAGTCCACCTTTTTTCTTACGCATGAGACAGGATGGCAATGTGTGCTAGACTAAATGATTTCCAGGAGGTCCTGCTAGTTAGTCAGTCAGCCTTGAAACAACACCGCTTCTTCCTGTCTCCCTGGCCCCACTTGCCACACTAAATTCTGGTACCTACCACGTGGCTGACAGGAGACCAGAAAGGATGTGGTGCTAGTCTGTAAATGCATGGCAATGTGACCTTAGATGAAAGGACATAAGCTCACTGGGCTGACATACCTGCTGTTAGCTTGGGCTGACTAGCAAAGTGCAGGAGAGAAAGGGAGTCTGCATTATTTTTATGAGGCCACAGACTGCATGGACTCCCAAGGACAGGTGCATTGTGTCAACCAGCT